GTAACACTTGATGTTCACATCTGTTATGGCAGCCTTTTGTAACTGGTCTGTAATGATTTTGAACCAACTACTTACAGCATGTTATATTGAGCAATTACTAAAGATTCAAGAGATGTAAATAAATTTAAAGATGGTAATTAAACATTCAAAATCAGAAGGGTGAAAATTGGAACACAAAGGCACATCAATACAAACGTTGTGAGTAATCAAAGTAATAATTTATTCCAGATTATAATGTGTGTTCATAATTGCAATGTTTTCAATCTTAATAAGATGGCATGTTAATTTAGAAACATGATATTCATTTTAAATCCTACTTAAATTGCATCCTACTTAAATTGCTTAAATTGCATAATCATCTGCACATTTGCACAGATCTAAGTATACTGAAGACATTCACTACTTTTAGGAAAAATTATTATGGAAAACAAAAAACATTAAAGCATGTAGTTTATGATGCTTATGACCTCTGTATATAAACTTGAAAAGTGTATTTACAAAACATTTTATCTTATGTGAATGTTTAATTTCCCTACTCTTGCCTTATCTATGTGTATGCTATTGTATGCACTAAATCTACATAATTTCAATTTGCAACTCTGGTTGGATTTCTTCATTACAAATATGATCATTCTAGGATAGTACTTTTATTATTCTTGGTAGGTATCATCAGTGGACATAAATATATAGAGACACCCTGATCAAAGTATTCTGAGATAGATATTCATGCACTTGTTAGGGTCAATTCATGCATTTACACTAAGTCAAGTATATGTAATTGTGAATGAAAATGAAGTGTAAAGGTGTAGCATCCTTTTCTGAATGACATATAAAAAGACATTTTTTTTCTTTTTATGACCCTTTAATCCCTTCATTCGGAGTCGAGTCAATTGAATGGTGCTGATCATTTACTGGCTGGATGTCCTTCCTGACACTTACATGGAGTTTGCAGCAAATATTTTATCTTTGCGCCCTAACAGAGAAACATCTGCTGCTACCTAGGATTGAACTCTCAATCTTCTGAGTAGGAGGTAAGTGTCTTCATCTCTAGGTTACTATGCCACTCTACACATAAAAAGATGTTACAACACTTTTTTGTGAGTTGATGGCACTGTTGGCTTTTTGCTCTTTAATTTTCCTTGGTTCACAATATTATCTAGCCATTAAATTAAAAAAGTCATTTAGCCCATTCTGCTGGCAGCAGCCATTTTTCTAATAAACCTTGAATAATTCTGTTATATCTCTTTACTTGTTTCAAGAATCAAACTCTCCAAAGAACAATCATGTGATGAGACTGGAGCAGAAAAAAACAAGAAAAAATACTCAAACTCAGAAAGCAGAAGTTATTATCAACATTTAAAGCACTTTATGCAGATCAATGCAAATGGAATCATTTTTCTCAAAATATAATGTTCTCAAAATATAATTCTGAATTCTGTATCCTGATATTTTTTCTTCAATTTATTAATAGAAATATCAATCAGGTACTGTTCCCTACTTCTGAAAATAATAGCTCCAGTCATGTTAATCCAGCCATGAAAATGTAAGCTAAGCGCAATAACTACATCTTATAAAATGCCTGTCTTGCTCTCTGTCACATTAATTCATAATTCTAAAATATATGAACATATACTGTATTTGAACATATAAACATAATATCCCCGAACAAAGCAAATAAGCAAGCATGCATAGGATAACAGACACTGGAAGGGTGATAAAATATTTTTTAAATGCTGGAATAAGTGTTACACTATTTTAAAAAAAACAATTTTAAAACACGCTACTCAAAGTTCATAAGTGTAGAATATATGAAGTATATTGAAGTAGCAGTTGTCATTCTGTATTATTCAACAAGCTCTTAAAATATTAGTACTCAAAGTTTCCCTTGAAACAGAATATTCTTAGAGTAATAATTTGAATCCACAACTATTGCAAGCATTATGTACATACAACATTTCAGTAAAAAATGCATTCTATTTACTGAGAAACATGTAATTAGTGACTCGTTCTATGAGATCCAATTGTGGGAATCCGATTAATTGCTTGTAGGATTATGACACGCTTCAGGGGAATTGTCAAAGCCAAATGTGCTGTATTTATAGACACAAGCATTCCATTGATCTTGCTTGGGATCTTTTAAAAGAATTGCTTTTGTAGGTCTGTAACAGTTGCATCTCGCTTGAAACAAGACTCTGCTTTCATCTTTATTGGATAGCAAATGACAGTCTAACATTCAGCTTTCAACTTAAGAAGGCCTTTAATAGTCCAGTATTCCCAGAACTGCTTATACATCTTCTTCAATTTTTAGTTCATGTACTATCTTCAAAACGGGCAGCTGTTTTCTGTCTTTTGGGAAGGAAATGTTTTTTTTTTTCCTAGTGAATTTACTTTTCAAAATGAACTTTCAATGCATTTACAGAAGGTGCTTCAAACTCAAGGCCCGCGGGTAGGATCTGGCCTGCAGAGTGCTTAAATTTGGCCTGTGGGGCCCTATGGACACAGTGGAGGGCTGGCCCACGCTGCCTTTGCCAGTGAAAATGGAGCTTGGGCAGCTGTGCCTCCCGAACTCCGTTTTCACTGGCAGAGAACTGCAGGAAGCTGTTGTGGCCAAAAACAGGGACTGGCAGAAGGCTAGCAAAACAAAACAAAAGGAGAAATGTTTCCCTTTTACAGGTGCCCCCAACACGAATGATGTCGAGCTGGTCATGCCCACCCATCATGCCCCCCCCTTTCCTCCATGGTCAAACACAACCCTGATATGGCCCTCAATGAAATCGAGTTTGACACCCTTGATTTACAGCAACTTGAGGTCAGTCACTGTCATCTTCTTCCTTCCTTTTCTTCTGATCACACAATTACATAATACACAGTTCTCTGCCTGTATCCAGATAATCACTATAAAAGGAAGATGAAAAGAGCAGTGACAGCTTTTGCTCTCTTGCAAGGAAGCGATAAAGACATGGAGGAGGACAGAAGTAAAGGAGAATGGCATGATCTCATCATCTTCTTGGTTTCTTTTCGGTGATCCTTGGATCACACAACATTTACCTGAAGAGTATGAACTTCATTAACTTCATTAAGGAAAACTACAACTGTTCTTACGATCTAATTTCAACTATGTTTTGCTTTACAAAACTGCAAAGATTGTCAGTACGAGGGTTGGTCACATCTCCACTGTAAATGTGAATGGTCACTAAATGAGGTAGTCTCTAAACAAGAACTATCTGTCCTTCTGAGTAGACATTAAGGGTTTAACGGAATGTAATATTATATATTATTACATATAATAATATACATTTATATATCCATGCTTAACAACCAGCAGAACTGCTTTTAATTGGTTTTCAATTTTACTAAATGTGAACCATTCTGACTAGCTCAGAATAACATATTTTAATCATATTTTCAATATTTAACATTTTAATATTTTAAATCATAGCTTCATGCAATTTGTGATTTCAGTAACAAAGTTCTTTCATTCAGATGAAAGCAGGGAGTAAACTATATGAAGTAACAAGAATATATGGAGTAAGCCAGATGAAAGTAGGGAGAAGTCTGTCTCTTGAACTTCTGCCCTGACAAGGAATTGGTTATTTGGGGTGTTTCGATTAAATTAGTCCCAATGCATGTTAAAAAAGGGGGTGAAGGCCTTTATTCCATGCTGACTTTTTTTATTCTCTTCCTGTGGACAGTCCTGGACTTAATCAACTACACATAATTAAAACAATGGGTATAGATAGGTAGGTTTATTGTAGAAATAGCAAATGTTTCTTAATATTATTTAATTGTATAAATGAAGACGCCAGCTTTTAACAATTTGGTCTCCATTTATTAACTGCACAGGTAAGGATTGGATTTGCAGGATCTCTTGGTAGACATTCCTTTGACTCATATCATGTACAGTATTTACTTCTTCCTTATCGTCTGGTGCGTTATGTGACAATTTTCATCAATGGGCATGCTGGATGTGCAAGTCTGGGATTTGAAGATTTGGTATTTGAATTCTGGGATTTGAAGTCCACACACCTGGAAATTGTTAGTTTGTTTCCCCTGGTGGGAAATATTGCTCTTTATCATGTGACCTAACTCTGGAATTTCCAAGAATTTGTATAAAGGAATCATTTCATTCATAGAGACCCTAAGCAAGTATTGTGACATACTAATCAGCTATTTTAAAAATAGATCTGCAATCTTCTACTGCTTCTCCATAATATAGCCTATACCTTGTTTAATAACTGAACTAGGATACATTGAACATATTAATAACATATTTGTAATCAACCAATATGCAAACCCACCCAAGGGTCAATTTGTCAGTTTGCGGAAATTTATTGTGTTGTTGATCATCATTTCAAATTTTGGCTTAAAATCTATACGCTGTTTGATATTTTTTTTCTAACCACATATGTATTTGTGTCCAAAATTTCCTTGTCTTTATACAGGTCCACCACATGTGGTAGTATGTGCCAGGTTTTTGTTTGCATTTCCAACAGTTTAGGGAGATATTGTTAAACGTTCTAGCTAATCTTGTCAGGGGCAAATGCCACCTATAGAACATTTTATAGAGATTTTCCTTATATGATGTTTATTTTTCTTTTACCACCAAAGATAAAATACAAAACAGAGGGGGGAAAAGTGGGGGGAGGAGAAATAATTTTATGTTTAAAGTTAGATTTATTTAACATTTGGGGTTTTTTCTTTGTTTATACACAAGATCTTTTTTCGTTATTATTATAGAATGTTTGTTAACCTGCATTCTTTGTTTATAGAGAAAACCACATGTAGATGTGTGTGCATGTATGTATCTGTAGCATACAATTTCTAGTGTCTTATTTCAGCTGTCTTTACAACTAAGCTGGTAGACCAGATGTACATAGCTGTGGTAATAATATATTTTATTAAAGATTTTTTAAAAAGGAAAATGAAAATAAATACAAACTGATATAAAGTAAGATAAAGAACAGAAAAAGAAATAAATTGAAGAAAAAGTTAAACTGCAAGAAAGGGAAAAAAGGTAAAAGAAAAATAGAAAAGAAAGAAAAAAACATACAAAGAAGTAGCTTCCAATCTTCTTTACAGCAGTACAATGTTCAATCTACCTCTTTCTGTATGATTACAACATAACTGACTTCTTTCTGTAATCCATTCTGTCTAATCATTCAATCCATAAATCATAACTTCATTTTTTTTCTGTTTTACACAAAAAAAATCTATAAAGGTTCCAGTTAGCAACAAACATAGATATTCTGCCTAATCAAAGAAGTCCATTTAGCCATCTTGGCAAGTTCCATCACCTTCATCAACCACCCTTCCATTGGGATAATGCCATATATTTCATTTTTTGTGCATACTGCAATTATACTGTACAAGAACAACATTCCATAACTTTTATCTATCAATCCCTCTCAAAAAAAAAAACCCCTCTGGTTTCAATTGTGTATTAATCTTGAAAATCTGCTGAATCAATGTATGAGTTTGGATCCAGAATTTTCTAGCTTTTTTACATATCCACTAAACATGATAAAATGTCCCCTCTTGTTCATGCTTCTCATATAAATTTGAAGGATAGATAGATAGATATAGATAGATAGATAGATAATAGCTAGATAGATAATAGATAGATATCTCAACAGTACATATATTTATGGTACATCATTTTATAAAAATCACTTTAAGATTATAACATAAAGTATATTTCAAACCATTCAGCAATGTATTTTCCCATTATTCCATCTGTGTATTTTACCCAACATTTTTGTCCACTTTATCATTTCTTTCATTTCTTTTCTTCAGTTTCAAATGTCAATTAACACTTATATGTTTAACAATTGCTTTACTAAACTAATTTGGGTGCAGTTCTGTTTCAGACTCAGGCTTACAATGTCCAAAACTATAAATTCTTTTGTCTACTTGAAATCTTTCTAATAATTGTAAATAAGAGAACCACTGACAATTATATCTCTGTGCCACTAATTCTTCACTCAATTTAGTTTATTGTTCCTTTGGCAAAATTCTAGTATAACTTATTGTGTTTGCCTATTATTTCGTGTCTGTAAAATGTTTCTTGTGTTGAGACCCACAAAGCTGTTTGCAGGCAGCACCTGGATTTGTAAACTAGAATAATGTTGAGATGATGGGCTGAGCCCATCATCCAGTACATGCAACAAGATGTCATATGCAGTATGATGTCATTTCACAAAGTATACAGATCATGTTCCTTCACTTGCATAATGATATCAGGAAGCATGTGACATCTTTAGCTCCCTTTGCCCAACTCTCTCCACCTGACTCCTCCACCCCACCCCACCCCACAATGCCCTTTGCAAACACTTAGGGAACTAAAGCAGAAAGACAGCTTGTTGCCCGAGATCACCAGGGAAATTTCTACCTATTCACAGTTCCCATTTGCAAACTCCCAACCCTTCACTGCACCAGCTTTCAGAAACTAGGAGAGTCCATTTGTTTTTACCTGTGGCAATTTTAAATAGAAACATTCAGAGACAATGAAGAAGATTCACAAGCTATCAAATTCAAACAAAATGAAAGAAAAACCAGCATTCGAGATCCATCCTTGCCAAATGCAACTTTTTCAAAAGTTCCCACTTTAAACAAATATTAGAATATTACTATATGTTAGCAGCAGGCGTGGAGAAGACATTCCAGGGAATATCTTGTCATGTTGTTCATGCGTGATGATAGCAGTGTCATTCTCTGTTTGCAGGAAAAAGAGAGACCACCTTCTCTGAACCATTATACATAATTTTGCCCCATTGTTTTCTAACAGCATGTTTTCCAATGCAGTAGTTTTGAAAGCAGCCATCACAAAATCAAAGTCAACCTCTGTTGCTGAGCTGTGCAGGAATCTGATCATCTCACCATACTTCCAACAGCTGAAACTTCTGGAAACACCAGAAACATCACCACTGACTGTAAGCAAAGATACCAATCTCAAGCACAAATTAGTACTGTCTTCAAATGGCATTCTTTCCTGGAAATACCAGTTGACCCCGAAGGCTGAAAGAAAGCAGGGGAAGAAGAAAGTAGCTCAGCACCATTGGGGTGTAAATCCTGCAGCTCAAGTGGTTGTTGGTCCACTTAGTAAAAAATCTCAAGTCATCTCGGGGAGTAGTAGGAGAGGAAGGAGAAGCCTCAGAACAACTCATCTATGTTTCCAAACGTCACAAAAGCAGTGATTACACAGCAGCTTCTCCTGCAAAAGAAACAGAATAAGCCACAGGTTAAACCCACAATATATACTTTCAAAAGCATCGAAGCTACATCAAAAGGTTACGCTGAATCATAGTTTAGTGTTGAATATTTACAGGGTGTCTGCAGTGTGTGGTAAAAAAGAAAAAAAAAGGCAAGATAGCAGCCATTACTATGATTACTGTTCTGACCAGCCAATTATCTTATAGACCAGGGTAAGATAATGCATTGATATTTTGGGCATTCCATGAACAGATCTAATTGGTCTGACAGGTGACCATCTACTACTATACTTCACCCTCTACCATGTTTGAGAGCAGCAGACTAGTTTAAGACTTAGCACAAATACTGTTGTACACTCAATCTGGTATTTCAATTTCTTATCTTGCTCTCTGCATCTCAGCATTTCCCAGCCAAGAGAATCATTGCTCTCTGCTTCATGGCCGGAGACTTCTGCTTTGAAGCAAACACCATAATCCCATTATTTGGAAGTGAGAAGTGGAACATTGGGAATGAAATATTGGTGCTCTGGTGGAAAACGTTATGTGACATCTGTGAGCCTTCTCAGTTGTGGAAGAAAAAGTCAAAGTCTAAACTGTAAGACATGAAAATATCTTTCATGAAAATTTTTCTTTCCTTTGCTATTGAGTCTGTTTTGACTCCTGGTGCTTACCTAGGTAAGTCTCTGGAGTTTTATGGGCAAGATTTTCAGAAGTGGTTTGCCTTCCTAGGGCTGAGGGAGAGTAATTAGCCCACAGTCACCCATGTGGCTTTGTGCCAAGGGGGGACCAGAATTCACCAGCTCTCCTGATCACTGATGCCTTAATCATAGCACCAATCTGGGTCTCAAACAATCCATTTGGTGGATTGTATCATTAAAAAGCAAGGAGAGATTGCTTTTTGTATGAAACCCACTGTGCACATTGCAAGTTAGCTTAAGAGTAAAGCAGACTAACATGTTTTTTTTTCCTTCCTGGGAGATTTTCTTTCCTCTTTTTAATTAAAAAAAATGTCAATTCCAATGTTGATTGCCACAGTCCAGGAAAAGCTGCTCTGACACCATTTAAAAAGGATCGCTATTGTTCTGACCCAACCCTGATACCAGCAAGAAAATCTCAGATAAACTCAGTAACTCAAATCTTCACAGCTTTAATCTACAAATAAACTTCTTTGTAGATAAAAGATGGCTTCCAACCAGAAAAGCCTTGACAGAATTCTTTCAATAAGCCAGAATCTCTACACACAATGCTGGGTTCTTCGAATGTTTTTGCTTTCTCCAAAAACAAAAAACTTTTGAAACCAGGCTTATATTCCCTGGAGGGAGGGGCCATTATGTTGCATCCTTACTCCCGAGTCGCCTGTGCTGCTCCAGCTGTTCTCTTCTACGAATCATCCTGCACTTGGCACAGGCTCCTCGGGAACCTCCTCGTCACTGCTGCCAGCTCCCACAATCCCTGAAGGCAGCAGTCGACTCCCTGATGGTCCTGGCCCCTCATCTGAGTCCTCACTCTCCTCAGCCATCTGCACCTGCTGCTGGCTAACCACAACAACTACGTGGATCACAGTTTGACAGATAATTTCAGTTTTGTTTTTTTGTTTTTCATATTGTTGCATGCTACCCCAAAGTGAAATGAAGCCTCGGCTTGATTTCTTTTGAGTGAGGGAGTGTTTGAAACTTACAACATCTTGCACAAGCTCTTCAGGCAAAGGGGAAGAACATGTGCTAAAGCCTGCATTGTTGTCTTTGGTCTGAGCAAGCCTCCTGATTGTGATCTTTATCCTGGTTTAACTAACTGAGAACATCTTTGTATCTCTTTGCAAGCAGAACACTAGCAATGCATGCAGGAGATATTCCTGCAAGACAACAGATGTATTAGTTCACATCTGATTCCCAGAAGGAGACGATTCCACAGATATTTTTTTTCTACTGGTTATTCTCCCTTTGTATAATTGAGTAATAATATGGAGTGAGGGCTACAGACTATCTACAGTGTCCCTGCCATCATATTCTTGCGAGAAGTAATCCTTGATCTGTACAGATGTTGGAGGGGAAGATTTCAAGGGAGCTGGGGCTTCTGCCTGGTTTAGAATCTGAGTAGTCAGAATTCAAACTTGCATACAGAACCTCTCAGACTTAGAAGAGGCAAAATATTTTTGTTATTTTTTTTTTCATTAACAGGCACCCTTCACTTTTGCTAAAAGCTGATCGCTTTCCTCAAGTTCCATCAATATTTCAATCTGAAAGGGCTGTGCGGAAAGGACGAATCCTCTGCCTTATTCCATTGATGGCAGCAGCTTCATCAGCCAAAGAGCTGCATTCGATTTTACCCTACGTATTCTTTTACAAAGAAAGCCTAGTTCTAAAATGTCCTCCGAGACGGTTGTGATGGTCTTTTAAAAACTATGAATGAATTAGCAGTCAACATCACCAAGCAAAACAAAGGAGACATTGAGTACATCTTATATTACAACATTTCTGTTTAATTTTGCTCTCTGCCTGCCAAGACAGACCTGTGTGTTCTGCCTAACGCTGGAATCAGATCTGAGGAACTGTTGGTGTTTGCATTTCCCCCCTCAAACACTTGCAAGCGAGTTACTATTGTTTCTTTGTTCCAATACTTCTGTGTGTGATATGAAATCTCTTTTGCACTCTTTACAATCTAATCTAAACTAGATTATATCTAACTAAATCAGAATAATACGCTTTGGCCTATTCATCATGGACTCGGCAGTCAACAACAATAAGAAGTTTCAATGTTTTACTTGTCCCAGGAGATACTTTTAACCTCTGGTGTCACTTGGCTTTTCTTCCCCAGTACAAGAAAATGCCTTTATATGATTCTTACAGTTGTTTCGGGTGTAATTCATGTTTGGGATCAGGATTGAAATAAGCTACTCCACTAAGATAAGGTGCATTTATACAAGACAGCATTATGTAGCTGGAGACCGTTGTTTCAGCCCTCCAGCCCCAATATGCATTTGCAAAGATGGCTCTGTCTCAGTGGTGGGATTCAAAAAATTTTATTACTGGTTCTGTGGGCATGGCTTGGTGGGTGTGGCATAGCTTGGAGGACGTGGCTTGGTGGGCATGGCAGGGGAAGGATATGCAAAATGTCCATACCCTCCATACCCCACTAACCTGCTTTCCAGCTCCATTCTTCTGTGCAAGGCAACAAAAGAAGACCCAGCTAATCAGCTGGGATGCAGGAGGCAAAGAATAGATGGGGGCGGAGCCAGTCAGAGATGATATTCTGAACTACTCAAAATTTCTGCTACCGGTTCTCCAGAACTGATCAGAACCTGCTGAATATCACCTCTGCTCTCTCTGAGAGAACCTTGATTTATGATTCCCACACACACCCCAAAGAAAATCTGGCATAGTGTCAAAACAGCAAGGCAATAGGGAAGGGGGGAAACCCAATAACACAGCAATCCTCAACAACAACAGCTAAGAAGGAAAGTCCTGCCAACTGCCTTCTGCTTCAGTTGGAATGTCTGGCATGACTTAGATAAACCATGGATTCTTCTTCATTTCAGTTAGTTCCATTCAAGCAGCACCGAAGATCAAGGCCCAGTAAAAATAATTTTTTTTTTTTGCCTGATCCCTGTCTGGATCAAGCAATCATGGTTCTTCCCACAATTTTGACTCAATTCGTGTCTGAAGTGGTTAGGAACAATGTGGTTTTGGTGGCTTAGACATAGAAACAACTTACGGGAAGCCACTGTGAAGCCTTGAAACTCTGCAGACGGCGTCTTTGCAACAAAATACTTGAATGACAAACCATTCAATTACATTCGTAGTTCCACAGGGCGGATTCATATTACCGCATGGCCTGTTCAGAATTAGCCCTCTGAATGAAAAGTGGCTTGTCTCCTTTTTTCTGTCTCATAGTTAATATTCAAGGTATTTAAAAACAACAAGTGGTTGTGATAAAGCAGGAATTCTTGACCTTTGCAAATGCAGAACTAGTTCTGAGATGCTTTAAAAGGATTTTTTTTTGGGGGGGGTATTAATTTATCAAACATTTATTTTTAAAAAACAGACACTTTGCCTCCCTGCTGTCCTTCTCTGTACTGGAACGGCAGTTCCCCAAATTTCCAGCCAGAGGTCCATCAACTACGCTGGCTGGGAATTCTGGGACCTGTGGTCCCAAGGCTTCTTGGCAGTGGAGAGCCACGAATGGAATCTCTGGTAACAGAAAGGGGAAAAAGTTATCATAGGGAAGTCATTCAAATTTAAGCTCATTGTTTTAGACATGGACCGATTGGCTTTATAGCTCTGAGTCTGGGGATAGTCTTTGTGAGGGAGGTCCCATCACAATCACATATATAGAGATGAGGCTATTTTTAAAACTTAAACTACAAGCACTACATAAGTTTACTATTTCAAAGTAAAAAAAAAATAATCCCAGCTACTAGTTACAGAGACTATTTAATATACAGTGTTGCCAGGTAACACAAAAGAAGAATGTAATCCTGGCTGAATAATACAGATTCCAAAGAATTTAAACTTTTCTTGAACAGTAAGATTTGAGACTTTAGGATTTCCATAGTATTCCTGAAAATAGGTGGGCCCTATCTACTGAGATCTCAAATTGCTAAGCAGGATTTCCTGAAATTACAGTGTAGGTTTTCAGTCTCCAGTCCAGCCCACAAGTAGTTACAGACATGCAAAAAAAACCAGAATGATGCACATAAAAGTCCCATGGATTTGTAAATATGCTGATATATTATATAATTCAACTTGTGGCAATATTTGGTACAAATTTCACCCCTGCCCTTTTGCAGGGTATATGTGACTCTGTTCAAAATCAGACGTGCGCCTTTTCTCGTAACTAAGCCTCATTGCGTGCCATGAGTCTTGTTTGTAAACATACGTACTCCTAGGCCCAACCCTAACCTTAGCATCACTAATTATTTAGCAATGTTAAGAGAAGGCATGATCTAATGCCGTGTCCTTTTGGTATTTACCCAAAGGCAGTGCACATATGGGAGCGTGGGAAAATGATGCTAGATAATTGCAGCCAGTGGATTCAGTTTGCAACTCTTCATTACATAGTTCTAATGTTTCTTTTGGCCACTGTGAAGGCAGGAAGAAATTGCTTCGATTTACTATGCTGCAATAACTGGCAGTGGGAGTATCTGAGATGACCTCCACAGGGTGGCCACAAAATGGGCACTTGCCAGTAATACATACATAGATACATATAAACTTAATGCCAACCTTTCAGTTCTGAGAGATGTTATGGAACCACAAGTGCTTAAGAGGGACATTTCTTCTTCTTCTACAAGAGCAAGAAAGATAAAATAAATCATAAGACCTGCCATATAATAATACATTTCAAACAGCAATTGTCAGTGTGTTTTTATTGGTTCGGCTGAGCTGAGCAAATGCAAATCATGGAACAGAATTGGTGCATTTATTGAGCCACTGGCTCTCTTTATAAAGTGAGAAATCGATACATTTGCATCTATTTACTACACAGATAACATCTGGAAGAGATAGGGAGACCAGATGGATGTGAGATTTTACACATGCACAATTACCTCAGTTCTTCCTCTAACAAAAAACTAGGCCAACTAGACAAGGAGTTTCTTACAAATGGCATTTATAGAGAAATACAGGCAAATTTAAGAAGTACATAAAAAGTCTGAAACGGTATAGGGTTTCCTGCTTGTGCAGGGGCTGGACTAGAAGACCTCCAAGGTCCCTTCCAACTCTGTTATTCTGTTACAGGCAAGATAACTAACCATTTTTTAAAAAACCATATGACCAGGGCTGAATTCATATTTCAAGTTACATACCTGTATAGTACTCTATGAACATCTTTTGCAAGAAATTGCTCACAATTATAATTTATGGGATAAGAGTGAATTATGGTAACAAAGATAATAACACCATTTTAGTGAGGACCTGACTGTGAATATCTTCCATAGCTTCCCCCACTCATCCCCAATCCCTTGCAATAATCTGGTCATCAAATAGTAGACATGAATAGAAGACTGATGTGTAGCGATCAGGCTAATGAATAAGCACCTCTTCATACAAAGAGATTAAGAGATAAAAGCAATTTTGATCAGATCTACAGACCTTAGCTTCCAGTTTGCAATGGAGTGTTTGGTTGGACAACCAAGGGTGTTTTAAAGCTGCACCTGCACTTATTCTCCAGCTAAACAGATAAGAACAAGGTTATCATGTGATATGTATACAGGAATTTTTAAATACGTAAGTCTGATATTTGCTTGTGTGTTGGTGTTTTAAGGTAACAGAGGCAATAGCAACAGACAGCTTTAGCTTGATCTAGGCTAATTTTCATCCATAGAAACGGTGCCATCTTCTGGTTTCTATACAATCACAGTTGGGACCAGAATTTCTATAGCTAAGTAAGACAGTTGTTAAATGAGGCATGTCTGATTTTGGACCTTTTCCCCCCAAGTAAATCACAAAGCGCTGTAATCATTGTCAATACATGGCAAGTGCCTAAATTTTGATCCATGACTCTGGGAATGCTGCAACACTTCCAAGTCTGAGGATCAGTTGTAAGTCACTTTTTTTTAGTGCTGTTATAACTTCAAATGGACACTAAGCAAATGGTTGTAAGTTAAGGACTACTGAGTGATTTGTGCCATTTCTTTTCCTTAGAACTTTGCAGCTTTAGTGGTGTTCCCATTCTTCCTCTTTGGGCCAATTCAATTATCATCATCATTACTAACATGGTTATCCTTCAGCTTTATTAATAAAAAAAAATAACTGAGTAATTTTATGTAACTAGTATCTAACTAGATACTAGTTACATAAAATGTGCCTTATCCTAAATAACCTTTTAATAAAATGCAAACAGTTTTCATTTTTGGCATATCATGGACGAGCTCAATATCTGTGCTTCACTATGAAACTATGTGATTGGCCTTAGTTTTGGGGGAGGAAAATAAGGAAAAAAATTCTGCCTCTGCCTACCGGCATCCATCAGTATTCATCTGGCTAGCATCCTGTCAGTGTGTGAGAGAGTTGAGGGCTGCTTGGAAACTGAAGCAGTATTTGCTGTGTAAGCAAGAAGGAGACAGCAAGGAGCCTGGAGGTGGCTTAGCTCAACTGTTCTGTACTAAAGCTGCTTGGTGCTGTGAAACTAAAACTGAAAGGAAAACTCCTTTCCTCTGCTTGTGTTTTGCATTTGGAACAGATTTATTTTCAGGTGGGGAGGGGGAGTAGAATTCCTTAACATCAGAGAGTGTTAACAATAATATAAAAAATACTAATGCTCTGATGGTCATTTTGAAAAATCCTTTCTTAGTGAACACCTAGAAGCCAAGAGAACATATGTGCCAAATTTCAAGTTTGTAGGCTTTATGGTTCTAGAGATTTTGTGATGATGCGTGAGTGGCATTTCACACACACACACACACACACACACACACACACACACACACACACACACACACACATATATATATTTGTTTTATTTCTTGTTCATTTTAGTAGTCTTAATATAATTCTGTCAAACATTATTATTATTTTTGTGTATTTCTAATGGAACTGAGCAGACAACATATTAAAAACAAAACATTAGGTGTGTAATTACCATTTTTCTTTGATAAGAAGCTTAGAGATGAAATCTTTGGCTTCTTCAGACACATTTTGAAATTCTTCCTCTTCAAAGTCCCACCTACAAGCCAGGATGTTGTTCAAAGTCTCATTATCATCATCACCCAGAAAAGGAGATAATCCAGTAATCCTGTAGGAAGGGAAAAAAAAGACCCATGTTCATTAAGCAAAAGAAAATATTTCTGAACTCTGGATGGTGTACAATAAAAATGTTAAAGCAGAAAATCAGTATGTAAGAATTATTTTCTTAAAGGAATAGGATCTAAAAGGAGGTGAGGTTGGTTGAACGCGGTAAAAAAAAAAGGAGTTAGGGAGTTTTCTCAGAGTACCAACCAGCTCCACAACCGTGTGTCTTTCTTTCTGAGTTCCCCACGTGAGGCTTAACTCCTTTTTTGAAGGCTAGGAGACAGGGGCCTGCCTCACCTTCAGGTGTGTATGTGAATATTACACAAGAAGGGAACAAGAGCAAATAAGGTTGTCTTCTTGGACCCTGCCAGTTGGAATTCTTTAACTGACATGACCTGCAGCCGTAAACAGAGCTTTCTTGGCATTACTCAAGAGTCTTCTCCAACACCAGCGTTCAAAAGCACACTTCTGTACTGCTTCTAACCCTTTGCTTCTATAAAGTGTCACAGGGAATGGGATAACTTCCATGATTATGATATTTGTAGAATTCCCAGAATTCCTCCTCCAGTCATGTTAGCTCAGGAATTCTGGGAGTTGAAGTCCACAAGTCTTAAACTTGCCAAGTTTAAAGACCCTTGGCACAGATGCAGCATGGCATCTGAATATGTTTTCCAAGCTTTTCCTTCCTATTCTATCAAATGCTAGTTTGCAATGTATTTCTTGATTATTGATTTATTTTATCGTAGATTTATTTTATCATAGATCCTAAAAAACTATCACCATATCTTCATTTCAGCCCGAACCCCCTGCTGTATCTGTTTTCATTAGTTTGTTCTTCTATTTAATGTTAGTTGCATTTTTTTCCACTATGCTCCTTGTCTTTCATTACTGGAGGCTGCAGATCTTTTGCATTTTCAGCTGTCACAGAAATGTCATCAGCATAGTGCTAGAGGCTGTGATTTTAGGATTCCTGGCTTCAACATCAGCCAATTTTTTTTTTCCTCTTGTGCTCTTCACAATCAAGCTTCATAAGCTAAAATCTTTGTAAACTATTTTATGATATATGAGTTAGAACAAGAAATACACTACGGGGTTGTTGTTTTTTTGAACTGCATGAACTTGATACAAAAAAACCTAAGGATGTTCCAGATGGGAAGTCTATGTTATCAATCACACAGTATTATGTCATCTATCTTTTCTATCTAAGAGATTCTCTAGTATGGGAAATAATGGAAGATGTTCTCAGAAAATGTGAGTCCTTTTGGAACATCTTATCCTCTCCGCTGGAGTGAGGTTGGCTCCAACCCTCCTTACCTGCTGCGATAGTTTAAAATCCTGGCTCTGTCAGTTGGCCTGGGGCTCCATCAGAGGAGTTTCACATTGGGGTTGGTTGATCCCACCTTCTTCCGTTCTCATCATACTCCTTCTCTCCCCATCTTTTTAGCTAGTTTTATTTTTGATAGTATTGTACTTATTTTATTTTATACTGTTTTATCTTTTAATATTGTAAGCTGCTGAGAGTTACAGTGTGGTAAGATGGGCAGCTAATACATTTAAAAAAATCAATAAGGAAAATTGCCATTATCATTATCTTTCCTCATCCAATAAAATTCTATGACCCAATAAAATTACGTGACAGCACAATAAAAATTTTATCTGGAAGCACTCACAATCATAATATTTTGACTTTAGTTTAACTTACAACATGTAGGCAATGACACCAATACTCCACATATCAGTAGGAAAAGAAACAAAATCATAGTTCACAACTTCAGGAGCAAGAAATTCTGGAGTGCCAAAGTTAATCTTAAGTTTTTCCCTTGGTTTGTACCTAAGAAACAAAACAGGAAAAAAAAAATAGGTGTGTGGGAAACAGGAGTAGCAAATATGGCCTTGATACTGCAAAATCCCCATTCTCTCCCCACCCCACTAACCTGCTTTCCAGTTCTATTCTCCTGTGCAAGGCAACAAAAGAAGACCCAGCTGATCAGCTGGGGCTGGGAAGGCAGAGAATAGATTGTGGGGAGGGGGCAGTGAGAGGTGGTATTCTGAACTATTCAAAATTTCCACTACCGGTTCTCTGAACTACTCAAAATTTCCACTACCGGTTCTCTGAACTACTCAAAATTTCCACTACCGGTTCTCTAGAACTGGTCAGAACCTGCGTACCTCTGGTCAGAATGGGTGCATCACCCTTCCCTCCAGAAGTCATGAACAAATGTGACCAATGTTGTTTCAGTTCTGTGCCCTGCCCCTGTCCTGATCCTAGGTTGAAAAGGTGCAGAAAATTCATTTCATCCTGGGTCCTTTGTAACTGGGAGCCAAATATGTTCTGAACAACCTTCCCTAAGGGTGAAGGTTGGAGACTGTATGAATGTTCTCTAATACTGTTGGGTCTAAGAATGGCGTCTTAAGAAGGGCTTAATATTTAACTTATGAAGTTAAATAAGTGCCACTTGAAAGTACTGAAGGCTTTCAGAATGAAAGGCTCACTTTGATGACTTTTACCCAGTGGTGGGATCCAAATTTTTTTTACTACCAGTTCTGTGGGTGTGGCTTGGTTGGTGTGGAAGGGGAAGGATATGGTACAATCTCCAGTCAGAGGTGGTATTTGCTGGTTCTCCAAACTACTCAACATTTCTGCTACCGGTTCTCCAGAACTGGTCAGAACCTGCTTAATATCATCTCTGCTTTTACCCATGATTTTGGCCTCATTAGAACATCCAGTTCTGTGGACGTGGCTTGGTGGGCGTGGCTTAGTGGGCATGGCTGGGGAAGGATACTGCAAAATCCCATTCCCTCCCCACCCCACTAACCTGCTTTCCAGCTCCGTTCTCCTGTGCAGGGCAACAAAAGAAGACCCAGCCGATCAGCTGGGACTGGGGAGGCAGAGAATAGATGGGGGCGGGGCCAGTCAGAGGTGGTATTTACCAGTTCTCCGAACTACTCAAAATTTCTGCTACCGCTTCTCCAGAACTGGTCAGAACCTGCTGAATATTACCTCTGCCCTTTTTATTGTACCAACCCCCTTCCTACTCCAATAACAACAGGATTCACTGGCAAATTCTTTGAGTTGATTTTTTTTAAAATGACAGAAGAAATAATAATAGCATACAGAACTTTTCTATGAAAATTTCATATCCCAAGTCCTCCAGTATCTAAACTAGAGCAATGTTATCCAAGGTCAACCCTCTTCTAATAGATTAATGACACCTCACTTTTTATTTAATCTTGTTTATCCCAAAAACATGACATCGAACTGATACGCCATCAATTGAAAAAAATGAGAACTGCTGACTATTGGATTAAAGCTACATACCTTCTTGCCAGCCCAAAGTCAATAATCTTTATTTGATATTCCTCTCGATTCACACACAAGATATTCTCAGGCTGTCAGAAGAAGAAAAGTGCACATTTATGAGAAATGGTGAAAGAAATGCTCTGGGATCAGTGTTAAAAATACACCAGAGCATAAAAATACACATGTGGATGCTGGTCTTTTATAGCAGGTTAGGCTCTGTGGATACATCATACTATAATCATGTGGTATTTGAGGCTGGGAACACTCCACCAAGGCAGCATTTCCCTTGTGGTGGCCTTTCTGTTCGACAGAATACAGAAATTTGAGATAAAGAATTCATTAGTGAGCTTTCAAAAAGGAAATGAAAGCACTCTGGCTGGTTTCAGGAAGCCAGGGACTGTAATTTGCAGCCCATTGTGTGCTGATATTGGGGTATTTCAGAAAAAATTGCTTTAATACTTTTCTGTGTAGTTGAACTTAATTTACTCTTCAACAAACCAATGTCTGATTAACCCCAGGCAAATTTGTGGACTGTGCAGAAATTAACTATTAACTAATATAGGTGATAAAAAGCTGTTATAGGTACACAGCTAAATTATTCAAATGCTGGTTTCTTTGGTTCTGCTTCATAGATTAATGACGGACTCAAACTTTACTCAAATGTTACTTACACGTTTAGCTAAACAACAGTTTCTTTTGTGATGTTAGCCTTCAGACAACAATACCCCTTGCACTTCCCCCCAAATTTACAAATATTTAAAGAAAAATAAATCATGAATATCTATGTCAAAGAAATATTCCAAAGTAAATTCTGGGCTGAATCCCCAAACCAGATAAAATACAAAATTAATCAGATTTTCATTCAGTTACTCTCATAAAACTAAACGTTCCAACATCTGATAAAAATGCATAACTAGGTAATGTAGCAAATTGGTATTCTATTAAACAAATTGGTGATTAAAAACTACTTTATCCAATGAAATGAGTAACAACAAAAAAGAAAAATTGATATTGTCTCTCTTCAAATCCAGACTCGGTGGTTTTTGCAAACAGAGGGTTCGGCATGAAAAAAAAATAGATTTTTCTTTGGCCACAGGCAACTGAGTTTTTCCTAATGATTTTAGTGTTATAGAACTGAAAACAGAGAGACGTTCGAGTAACATAATATGCATTCACTCTCACCAGGTTATTCAATTATTTGGGATCACATTCATCAAGTTAAGTAGCCAAATACATGGCTCTAGTTTAGAGACAACCAAGGCCCTGGATGCCTATATAAATAAACATATAGAATGCAACAAGGCTCAATAGCTGCTCTTCTTAGAGGAAGACAACTTCAGGGGCAGTTCTTGATTCAATGGTGTTTGACATCTGCTATAGCCTTGCCATCTAATGTATGCCTCTTAATTTCTCATTATTTATAAAAAGTTGATAGAATTTTTGCCTGATCCCATCATCATCAGTAGAGTTTCCCCAAGTGTTGGGGTTCTATAATCTCCTGAAGAATTTGAAATGTCATTAGAACCATCATTAAAAAAGGCAGAACAAAGAATGCTCTTCTTGAATCAACTCAGGAAGTTCAACTTCAGGCTGCCCCAGGAAATATCAATACAGTTCTACAGAGGAATTATTGAGTCAGCCATTTGTATTTGTACAGCTGTCTGTTTTGTACAGCAACTAAACAGGACAAGAACAGACTTCAACGAATAGTTCGGACTGCAGAAAGAAACGTTGCAACCAGCCTGACTTCCATAGAAAACCTGTATATTGAGCAGGTCAGAAGAAGGGCTGAGGAAATATCTGCTGACCCCTGACATCCTGAACATAAACTGTTTCAACTTCTCCCCTCAGGATGCCGCTATAGGGCAATGCATCCCAAAACAACTAGACACAGGACAGTTTTTTCCCTTATGCCATCACTCTGCTGAAACCCTTATTCTCACAGTACCGTCTTACATTTAAGTATAATATTCATGTTGTATGGCTGTTGTATTATTATTATTATTATGCTTCTCATCTTCTTTACTACCCTTCTTATTGGTATCATTATTATTACTCTGTTGTTTTGCATGTGAGCTGAGAACTTCTGTACCAGAGACAAATTCCTTGTGGGCCTAACCACACTTGGCCAAATGAAGTATTCTATTCTATCATCCATTCACTTAATCGCTTGCCTTAAGAATTTAGGCTATAGGAATTGATTTATGTCTGTATAAAAAGTTATAACCCGGGGTTAAGCCGCTTTCTAAAAAGAAGTTTTATGTTTTTATGTTATGTATTTTCTTAGCTTATGTTTGTTTATTGAGGATTAATGATGTTGGATAAGAACATATGAAATAGTAATAATATGAAATATAGTAATATGAAATACATGAAAGTATGAGTTTAATGAATAAAATGGAACAGAAATAAAGGAAGAAATAGTGAGAAGTTGGAAAAGAGTAATAAGATATGAAGTTGAATATATAAGATGCATATTAAATTGTGTGTGGAAACGTGATAATTTAGAATTATGTTGTACTTAAATGAGATGTCTTATTTGTTTTGTTAAGCAGTTTTTTTAGAAAAGATGTTCTATGTTCTTATGTTTTATGTTTTGTTTGTCTGTGTATTCTCTTTGAAAATTAATAAAATTTGTTACATTAAAAAAAAAAAAGAATTTAGGCTATAGGAATAGTTATTTCCTTAATATTAATAACTAACCCTTTTCAGCTGTCCTGAGAGCTACCATATCAAGAAAGGAAGGAGCAGAGAGAAGATTCAAGTTCCCTATCATTTGAGCTTTACTCTGCTTTTCAACACCATGACATGCTGGAAGACAGTATATTGCAATCACAGCAAATAGGAAACAGAAAAGTCGCAATTGTTCTTACAAGAGGATCGATCATTTTAGTTGCTGTCTTGTGGCCCTTGGATCTCCTCCTGATTCACTGAAATGTGGTGTCCTCAAGCTGAGCAGATATTCTACCCATTGCCTACCAGGTCTATGGATAAAGGACAAGCTGGGTTCTCACTTCTATCCCCACTCCTAATATGTTTTTATTATCTGAAAGTTGAGTCTATTCATGATACTCAGAACTCCAAATCAAAAAGGGCCATTAACTGCAGCCATAATATCTGTTCTAAGATGTTCAGTCTAGTATATACATTTTTTTTTGCAAGGGAAGTACAACAAATGCACAGAACCTTCAAGTCCAAATGGAGAATATACATTTGATGCATGTACTGAACCCCTTCACAGATTTGCTTTATGAATAATACGGCATCCATCTCCGTCAAGTTGGAGTTCTCATCAAGAATCCGATCAAACAGTTCTCCTCCTTCCACACTGAAAAAGAGAGACAGATAGGCTTAACTGGTAATTCAATGTAATGAAAGTTTTACATTCAAGGACAATAGTCTCCAACCTGGCAAATTCCCCATGTCCAGACTATCTAGGATTATAAGGAAAACTAGAATTGGGGAAGGCTGGTCAGAAATGTATGTTTCCCATAGGACTATGTACATGCCGACATAGACCCTCATATACTGGATTATGTACAAAACAAACAAACTGCAACAAACCTTTCAGGACTTGGTTATTACACGATCTAGAACAGGGGTCTCCAACCTTGGACCTCAGGGACCACCAAACTCACAATTTTAGATCCCAGGGACCACTAACTGGTTCTGTGGGCATGGCTTAATTTGTGGGCATGGCTTGTATGTAAATATTATAAATATTTATATAAATATTGAATTTTTTTTATAAAAAAGAGCAACTTTTACCCAAAATCAGGCAAAGCAGGCAGGCAGATTGAGTTGCTCACAGAATCACAGATTCATTCAGAGATCTATCTATCTGCCATTGGCTAGCTCAGTCTGTCACATAAAATTTGCTTGCAAGCAAACTCACAAAATTAACTCACAACACATCATGTATGTAAATATTGAATTTTTTTATAAAAAAAGCAATTTTTACCCAAAATCAGGCAAAGCAGGCAGATTGAGTTGCTCACAGAATCATTCAGTGATCTATCTATCTGCTATCGGATAGCTCAGTCTCTCAAATTTTCTTGCTGTGAGTCTGTGCTGAATTTGTTTGCAAGCAAACCTTCAGTCCTAAGGGAAGCAGAGTCGAAGATCTAAAGACTAGCTAGAAAGCAAGAAATCCAACCATTTCTTGCTTCCTAGCTAATCTAAATCTCCCAGCAGAGCCGAACCGATGATGGTCAGAAAAAGGAAAAATAGAAATTTTAGCAGGCAAGTTTACCAGGTAAGGAGTGAGTGCGAGGGGAGGGTTCCCGCAGGCCATGTGGGCGGCGCAGTCTTGTGTTTCTGCGGAGCTTGGATTAATTACTTTGGGGGGTTGCTCTGGGGTGGGATTTCTCTGTGGCCCACCAAAATTTTCTCAAGGCCCATCAGTGGGCTGCAGCCCACCGGTTGGTGACCGCTGATCTAGAATATAGTATTTGATAGTAATTCCAAAACAGTGTCAACAGCTTTATGTTTTTTGAAGGTGAAGAATGTCAGGAGGTGAATGTCAAGAGATATGTCATAGATATACATATGGTTTTCAGTGAGTTAACAATGACTATAAACCATGGATGTATAGAAATAGAAGTATGGCATTTATTCTCCAAATAATTAGTATTCTTCAGTCAGAGAGAGAGAGAGAGGGAGACAGATGACTGCCTTAAAAATATGACCCTCTAATGCAGGGGTGTTAAACTCTAATTCATTGAGAGCCGCCTCAGAGTTGTGTTTGATCTTGAGGGGGCATGACTGGGATGGGCATGGCCAGCTCAAAATCACTCATGTTGGGGGCAGCTGTGGTGACCCAAGCTCTGCCAGTGAAAAAGGGCTCCTGAGCTCCATTTTTGGCTGCAACAGCCTCCTGCAACCCTCTGCCAGTGAAAACAGAAAACAGAGCTTGGGAGGGCTGCATATTTTCACTGGCAGGGAGTTGCCAGAGGCTGTCACAGCCAAAAATGGAGCTCAGGAGCCCGTTTTCAGTGGCAGAGGAACCATAGGCCAGTCCTTCGCTGTTTCCAGGGTGGCCCTGTGAACCAGATATAAGCACCCTGCAGGCCAGACCTGGCTCTTGGGCCTTGAGTTTGACACCCCTGCTCTAATGCATTAATGACATTCTTCAGTAGTAATGCACGTGCTTTATATACAAAATTAAATCCCTGATATCTCTAAACACATTTCACTGAAAATGATGCCAATCTAGTTCATGCTTCCAACTTCCCCTTCCTACTTTTCAGGATAGCCTCTCCTTGTAAAGTTGCATATAAAAATTCAAATAACCCAATCAAATTGTATGTTTCAATACATCCATATGCAAACAGAATCTCTGTATGCTTTCTAATTTTGAATCTGTAAATATCTGCACAGAAATGGTAAGTGCGGATACTGATTCCAATAAAGAAATTTCCTAAATGTGAATTTAGAAGATGTTTTTTCTCCCCAGAACTTACTTCTGCTCAATCACTATGTAATCTTTATAAACCTGTTCCAAGTTACTGTAAGTAGGTCAGAGGAAAATGGAAGATGTAGGTTGGAACTGAACGGCTGTGTAAACCATACAGGATGGCTATATCTTCTACACTCCCATAAAAAATAACTACAATTTCTGGGTTTAGCATTGTGTTGACTGAGTAGGGAATGAGGAGGATCATATTAAAGGCTTAGTGGTTCTAGACACAGCTAAGAAAGAGAAGCAAAATAAAGAGCTGATTGATACATACTATTCCATAACAAGGACAACATCATTTTTTGATTCAAAAGCATCATACAGCTGAATGATGTTCACGTGGGTCAACTGATTCATGATATTAATCTCATTTTTCACTTCATCCTGGAAAAAAAAGAATGTTGTTACATTTGAGGAGAACGTAGCAAAACTTTTGATGCCATCTTTAGTATTGTTGATTTTCCTGCCTCCATGTATTTGTTAAAGCCTTAAAGCACCCTTTTCCCAATGCAATGTGATCCCAAAGTGATGAACTTCCGTTGGTGGAAATATCCACCACCAACGTTGATAATAGACAGATCAGGTTTTAGCAGGTTACTGTGCTCCAAATTACATACGGCAACAAAATGCTTTGCCCAGGTCTTCAGTGCCATAGGAAACATTTTTCCCTAAGATTTCAAGAGCAACTGCAATTTAGAAGGAGTCATGACTGTCATTCTTTAGGTTTCTACTCAGATGGACAGTACTTCTACTTTGTTTGATGAGCTAGAAGTATTTTGAACTACTCAGGCAGTTTTCTAGAAAAAAAAACACAGAAAGAAACCGATTTTATATTGTTGATCTATATTGGCTAAACTGGTAAGCTGAATGCTGTTCCAGAAAGACTAGAGAAAGCAGGTGAGGCGTGTCCAAGAATGAGAAAAAATATCTTAAGGCCTTTATAGGAAAGAGCAGGAGAGAAAGGTATAAGAGTTAAATCCTAGGCTTGTTTGTTTAGAGAGATGATTAGAGAGAGAGAGAGAGATTCTGTGTTCTGCAGCATATGCAATTTTTTTCTTGTCTAAAATGCAATAACATATCTAGGAGAAGAATCAATCTATTGGGCTTCTGTTATTCCCTAGTTCCTAAGAATAGGATTAAGTTTCCAGAATAACTCCTAAAAATCTCATGGGACATTTTTTTTGGTTTTTTTTGACAACAATGTAGATCTGGCTTGCCATTACTGCCTTCTGAGCTTTTGTTTTTTACTATTTAAATCTAGTTTATAGTATGGTATTCCTATGTGGTTTCCCACCCAAGTATAACTTTCAATTCCAAAGCAGTGTGTTGAGGCATTCTTTGGCAATGAATGTTTGTTAAACTGTTGTTGGACAAATGAGCAAGAGCTGAGAATAAAGGGTAAGATTTTCTTCCTAAAATAATAATGTGAAAGAAGTTACAATAAACAACCTTGATTTGTAACCTCTGCTTTATAGATTACCTAATTTGATGGGAGGAGGGGGGAGAGATTGAAGTGGAGATTTCAAAGGCTGCTCTTTGTACAAATAGCTAAGATCTTTATATCACATAAAAAGCCAATGAGAGTTCATTAGGAAAAGTTTGTTCAGGTGAAACCAAATCAGTAGATAACAAAGCCCCCACATTGCTCTAGGGCAGGGTTGTCAAATTTGCGGTCTGCAGGCTGGATGCGTCATGTGCTAGCCACGTCCATGCCAAGTTTAGTGAAAGGGAAAAGGTCCAGATACATCATGTGACACCACCACAATGATGTGAGTTTGACACCCCTGTTCTAAGGTGTTATTCAAACCCCGCTTACCTTTTCCTTTACATTCCTGGCTTTTATAATTTTGGCTGCTAATTTGAGATTTGTCTCCTTTTCTTCACATTTATACACCTGGCCAAATCGTCCACTAGAGAAAGGGGGAAAAAAGCATAATTGAAACCAGGCCTCAGGTGACTTTTCATTTCATTTATTTTGAAGTTAGGACAGTTTTAGGATTAGGAGAATCAGTTGCCCTGACCTTGAAGGCTGCTCTTATACACTTGTTAAAACGTTATAATAAAAAATTTAGGAGATCAACATGATTGATCCTATTTCCAAAAGAGAAGCACGAAAAATGACAATGCCCAGGCCTTTGATTGATCGCTTCAGTAAATGGGGTGCTGGATAAAATAGAGCTCTAAGACCAGTAGACTTTCTAATGTTCCTAGCATTCCTTCTCATGAAGGTGTCATGCTCTGAGGTAAAATTCAGAACACTCATTCATTTTTAGGATAGGATACCACTTATTTGAATTGTGAATTGATTTGTTTGATTGGCAATAGGAAGAACTTCTTGAATTGGAAGACCACCAGAATAATCCAGGTCCAGAAACCATCGACTTTCTGTTCAGTCTTCCATTTATAATATGTAAGCCATTGCTATTCTCTGGACTAGGATGGCTAGCTTATTGCTTCATCCAAATTACACTACAACTTAATCTGCACTATAGTAATCTAGGATAGTATCCAGGGGTTAGTCTGATTGTTTTAAGAGATTCTGCACTGAATGGGCTATAATTTTGGCTTGACTTACCCTCCTAAAACTTCATTCTTGAAGATTTGATAGAAGCTACCAATCCCAGATCTTTTTGTTTTGATGACCCTGTGATCAAAAGGAGCAGGGGTTGATGGTATGTTATCTGTGAATGAGAAACACAAAATGCCACATTCAATATGAACTAATAATTTAAAGACACTCATGTTTATATGGGTATGCATCTCTTTGAAGCAGATTCTGACTGCTGGCAACTGCCTGGACAAGATTTCAGAAGTAGTTTGCTATTGCCTACTTCCTAGAGCTGAGAGAGAGAGCGACTGGCCCAAGGTCATCCAGTTGGGTTTCTGCCTAAAGCGGAATTAGAACTCACTGTCTCTCAGATTCTATCCTGCTGTCTCAAAATTATTTTGTGTGCCTTTTCAGTTTTTGTTCGGGTATTAAATGTAATGAATAACTTCAAATCACTATTTTCCCTTCTTTGGGTTCTTAGTCTTGTGCATTGTTGTTGCATGGCAGCTTTTATTTTGGCAGTGTAACAGAAACATTGTTTTCTGGAAATTTCAAGGTCTGGCTTGGAACAGGATCCCACAAATTCTATCATGTCTGATTCTGACTTGGTAGGTCCTAAAAAAACTTTGTAACAGTTTGAAAACTTGAAAAACATAATGTTGGTGACATTAGAAGATATTAGAAAGTAATGAGGTTGAAGGCTACAGACAGCTACCTATTCATTTTAATAAAGTCAATCTTAATTGTATCTAAGAAGCACAAACATGGGAAAGATGCAATGGAACGACTGTAAATTGACATCTTAGGCATCAGGAAGTCAAAATGATTTTTTCAGTCAGAAAACTATAATTTTTATTCTTAAGGACATGAAAAACAAGAAGAAACAGCTTTGCTTTTATACTTAGGAAGAGCATAGTAAGAATTGTACTTTGTTACAATGTAATCCAGGGGTAGTCAACCTTTTTATACCTATTGCCCACTTTTGTATCTCTGTTAGTAGTAAAGTTTTCGCTAACCGCCCACCGGTTCCACAGTAATGGTGATTTATAAAGTAGGGGACAAAACCCCTACCGCCCACCATGAAAGCTGGAACGCCCACTAGTAGGCGGTAGGGACCAGGTTGACTACCACTGATGTAATCAATGATGATATCAATTAGTGCAATCCCTTAATATGATAATCCCTTAATATGGGCAATCCCTTAATATGACAATCTTTTAAGCTTACTCCAACCTCCAAGGCTCCAATGGAATCTTCATAGCTAACACTTGGCTCAAACAATCTAAATCACGCCTCTCTAAATGGATATCACCAGATGAAGTATATAGAAACCAAATTGACAGTATTATTGCTAAAAGGGAAGCAGAGAGCTAAGGTACTGACTGTGGAACAAATCATGAACTGGTCACCTGCTAGTTTGTTTATTTATTTTATTCTATCTTGCCTTTAATACTTTATTAGTAAGGCAGTAAACATACCTAATTACTGCTCTTTTCTATCTTCCCCCAAACAATAATCTTCTGGTGTGATTTGGATTGAGAGAGAGTGACTGGCCCAAAGTCACTCAGTTCTAAGTTTAGCTACAACAGACAAAGAAAGCCAGTAAAATTTCCAGTATGATCTTGAACACATAACCACCATTTTCAAGGGGCATATCAGAAATCACACTGAAGTAATGAGCCTCAATGATTAAAGGCCCAGAGGAATTACAAATGAACTTAAAGAAATGGTTAAAGATGAATGTGAAAAGAAACTGCATACAAATAGATAGATAGATATAGATACATAGATATATAGATATAAATATAATCTCTCTCTCTCTCTCTCTCTCTCTCTCTCTATCTATCTATCTATCTATCTATCTATCTTAATATTATATGAAGAGAAGATATATATATTTGAAGAGAAGAAAGCAAACTGTGGAAATTACCAAGAAAAGAGAAGCCAAAGCCTCGGAAGACAAAAATATCAGGAAGAAATTTAGAGATTAAGAGAGCACATGATAGAGGAGCCATGAAGGCCTTGGAAAACATATTCAAATGCCACGAGGTCCCTATACCTACAACGATGACAACTGTGCGAACCATCTTATTCCCTTAGACATTGCATGGAAGTGAAAGTTGGACTTTAAAGAAGCAGAATAGGGAAAGCATTGGCATTTTTGAACTTTTGGTGTTGGAGAAGACTCCTGAGAATACTGTGGACAGCCAAGAGAAGAAATCAATGAATCATCAAACAAATCAATCCAGTGCTCTCACTGGAGACACAAATGACCAGCTTCAAAAAATCCTACTTCAGACTCATTATGTGAAGGCCCAGATCTCTGGAAAAGGCTGTAATAGAAGGAAAGATAGAAGGAAAGAGAAGAGGAGAAACAATAAGGTGGATAGATTCAGTTGGGAGTAGCAAACAGCGCACCTTTAGGAGGAACGAAGAATAAATTATCATGGAGAAAAACTATCTGTCTTGTCAATAGGAGCTGAAACAACTTGGTGGCACATTTAAGTAAAATTTAATTTAATATTAAAACAATTTGCTTCTATTTCTGTGCGTCTAGCGAAGCCCAAACCTTATAAACTGGCAATCAAATAAATCAACAAAAAAAGTTAATGACAAGACTAGACAAAAGAACAGGTAGCACTAAAACATGCTTGCTTTCTCATCCTCAGATGGGACTTTCAGCTGGTATAACTAACAATCCAAATGTTAATTCTTCTGTTAACAGAAGAACGTTGAAAATGAAATGCAAATGCATTTGTTTTACTTGCAATTAGTATATTATTTAATATGTTTTAAAAGCTAAGTTGTACCAATTATAAAATTATCCCCCTTTGAAGTTTCTTGCTTCACTTTGTTCTTGTTGGCAGCTGTTGATTTAGATGCAACTGTTTTTCCAGGTAAGGCAAGTTCTGTTGTTTTTGGCTTCGCGGCTTCTTTTGGTTTAAGTCCACCGCTGGCCTTTGCTACATCCCCTCTGCTCTTTTTGTTGATATCTTTGGGGAGACTTCCCTTGTTCACATGACACTTGCTGCTGGTGGTTTGCACATCTTTCAGAAGGAATGAAGCCTTTTCCTTTTCTTTATGCCTAGATGAGAAGATGTAGATTATTCTAGTATCAACTGTGAAAGTGTTATGGAGAAATATAAACAGCCAAATGATAAGAAGCATTTTTTAGAGCTCACAGTTTATAAATGAATACATATTCTATTTTATTCTATTCTATCCTTAAGAGTTGTACCTTATGATTCCTGATGAATGTATCTTTTCTTTTCTGTATACTGAGAGTATTTGCACCAAGACAAATTCCTTGTGTGTCCAATCATACATGGCCAATAAAGAATTCAATTCAATTCAGTTCTACTCTACTCTACTCTACTCTACTCTACTCTACTCTACTCTACTCTACTCTACTCTACTCTATTCTTTCTTCTATATTCTATTCTATTCTTCTATATTCTATTCCAGTGATGGCTAATCTTTTTGGCACCGAGTGCCCAAAGCATGTTTGCATGTGCACGAATGCACGCTTGCATCTGCAAACCCCCCAAATGCAATGCACGTGAAGTTATGACAGCACTGAACAAGTGGTACCTATCACCAGCCCCGGTAAGCTTGGCAGCTGGTTTCCACTTACAACAGTCACAGCGTCTCACATCACGTGATTGCCATCTGTGATGGTTTCCCACAAGAAAATGGGAAAGCCTGCAGGGAAGGTCCTAAGTGACTCTAATAAGTCATTCCCCCCTCCAGGCTTCCTGCATTCCCATGACTCTGCACTGCTCATCACCTGCCTTCTTGCATTTAAGTATTTTATTTATATATTAAATTTATATGCTGCCCATATCACTGTTGAAGCCATTTTGGGTGGCATATCAATTTATATCCCCATTCTCCAGATTTTGTGTGTGTTTTTTTGCGACCTGCTCTGGGTCTCCTCAGACATCCCTGGCCTCCGCAACTCCCCTATGGCACTTCTGGGCTTCTTATCTGAGGCTCTCGGTTGTTTCCTGGTAATGACAACCGGGATTGCCAAGATTGTGGTTGCTAAGTGATGTGATCACATGACATCTCATTGCAATCCAAATCCCAATTACTGTCATAACCTGAGGACTACCTGAATACCGTTTCACTGCCAACGAAATGGCAGAACATTAGAACAGGAATACGTCTTGTGGGTATATGAGACAAATCCCCTCCCAGTTAAACTGGGAACCTTAGGCAGCAGACCACTGACTTCTTACCATTACCTCACAAGCTTCTACAATATGTTGGGTCCCTCATTATATATGTGCACAACATAGTATGGATTCCATCTAACTTACAGAATATTTTTAAGGGAATGGTTGAATAGCACCGTTCTATTTCCCTCAAAAACTTTAGAGTATGGTATGTAATTCTTCCCTTCTCTAGAATTCAACACCTATCAAATTATTGTTATTACTGGATCTCGTTATGGACAGGAACATTAGGTTTTTGTATCAATTTCATTAGTAACATGTCAAAATATCTATAAGAATGCTTTCTTCGTTGTCCAAAAGTTCTAAACCAACCTAATCCAACAGGAAGTTTTCTTATACATGTTTTGTCTTTCTGATTCCAGGGTATGTCAATGAGTTTGCAAAAAAAAAAAAAAATTCCTTATACAATAAAAGCTAAGACTTGAGAGGATTATAAGTAATGCAAGATCAACATTTGGACCAAGTATCGTACAACATGTTGAACAAGTTTTGTATTCTTGTCAACAATTGTTAGGCTAACAATTTTTTCAACATCTGCTCAAGCCAATTAAGAAAAAAAGTGCAAGTTGGATATCACATTCTTTTTAACACAGAATGCCAAGACGGGAAGGCCAACACTACAAAAAAAGTGTTTGTTGAGGCTTAATAGTCGAGGCTTGTTTAATGCAGGAAATTCAAAATAAGAACATTCTAGGAAGATGGCTAACCTGTCTCTGCTTCACAGCTTTTAATGAGGAGGTATCTATAATTACATCAAGGAATTAATTCCTTTGTCAAACTATCCCCACATTCCATATATTTCTCTTAATTCTTAACCAAAATTTTTCTTTCTATAATTACCCTCTGACTTTTTCCCTTTGTCCATCTAATAGTTTTTCAAAGCTACTATGTCCATGTTGGAAATAGTTTTTTTTAAAAAAAAAACACTATTAAATGTTGTACAGTGTATCCTTGTGTGTGGATTATCTTTAATCTAATGATCCAAAGCAGGAGTGTTAAACTTGCAGCCTGTGGGCCAGATGTGTTGTGCACCGGCCACAGCCACACCCGTTTTAGCGAAGGGGGGAAAAGTCGCGATACATCACATGACGACAATGTACCATCGTGAGTTAGACACCCCTGATCCAAAGTGATAGTGTGTGTGTATATTACTAATCCAGGTTCTACATTTCAGTTAAGCACTGCATGACGCTATAAGAATAAATCTAAAGAGAGATAGTGTGAAAACATACTTGATATCTGCATCTTCTATTGATTTTTTTCTTTGAGATGTTTTTTCTGATACTTCTGCTTTTTCATCCCTGGGAATATATTTTCTTTTGTCAACTTCTCCTACATTCCCTGGACTTCCTTGAGATCCATCAGGCTTCTTCCCAAATCTTGGATCATCACCTTCTGTATCTGGGTAATTTTGACTTTGTTTGGCTTCATTTGCATTCACCTCCACTGGACTTTTTCCTGAGGTCTTCTGCAGAGAACTTTTCCAACTGTTGCTATGACGTCGCTCTGCACACTCTTTAGACTCATAAGAGTCACAAGATTTGGGGGAATTTCTCTGAACAAGAAACTTGTTTGCCTTCTCTGTATTCTCCTTGTTGAGTTTATGGACCTTTTCTGTATGAGAGTGTGATTCTGACTCCTCATCAGATCCATCTAGAAGTAAGGAAAAAAATACCAACAATTTCAGGGAAAGAATACTTATGCAACAACATTCAGTTATTCACACTGCAGAAACTTCCTTTGTCTTTTGAAAGTCAGGGGCTTCCCAGTTTCTGATGTGAAGCAGTCAACCACTAAGAGTCTAAATATATTATAAAAATTATATTCTTCTCACTCGAGGGTGTTTCTAGTTGAAGGATTCTGACCACTGCGGTTCATTGCTCTTCTGTTAAAACACTTCCATTCATTTTGCACATGTGAAAGCATCACTTCCAGGTAGCATAGAAATGCAACCTGAATGTTACAGGGAAGCAGGGAAGAAAACGTAACTCTATAACAGACATGTCGCATCTAAAGTGTAGGGTTATGCCCCAGATAAATTTTATTAGTACAATATAGTATATATACCAATTGCAAAAGAAGGCAGAAGAATATTCTTTTCATTTTTCCTATTTTAAAATTTCTGGAACTATAAAAAAACTCTGAAAGGAAACTTTATGTGGGTTCAGAACCTTAAATTCATTAATTTAATTTATTTAAATTTATTGGTCACCCACTCTAATGGACTCTACAGTTAAAATGCAGTTAATTTGTTCGTTCCCATTCAGAAAACAGATTTTCAGATATTTGTCTGATTATTTTTGGCTATTTCAAAAAAAAAAGATTATGTATTGTCAGCTGAATTAACTGTATCCTTTGTTCTACTGAACAAGCCCTATTGTAGCTCAAAATCAAAAATTATGTTTGCAGTGAGCAACACTACTCTAAAATTTGGCAAACAAGTTATGGCAGCAGACAATTAAGGGGACACAGAGCTTTTAATATTGGTAAGTAACATGGCTGATCTAGTTACAGGAATAAGGTTATGCAATGCTGGCACAAGAAAAATACAACTAGCTGATCTAGAGGGATAGATTTGGCACAAGTCCCATGGGCAAAAAGCCAAGGTTAAGAAATTTTATCCCAGAATGCCCTGGGGTGAAAAACCCTTTTTTTTCCATTTGATAAACCATACCTTCCTTGTCTAGGGCACAAAGCTGCAAAAACAATACCACTTGTGTTAGTTTTGAGAGAAAGAAAGAGATATCTAACCTGAGGAATCGGGCATTTTTTTATTTTTTATAGATTTTGTTCCCTTTGCAGTAAGATACGACTTTTCCTATGGGAAAAACAAGCAAACAGGTCAAGGTTTCATAACATATTTCCTTTGTAAAATGTTGCACTTCCTTGTTCTAAGCACAGATTTTCCATGACTGCCAATCAAAATCGAACTTTGATAGCATCTGTAATTATTTCCCCTTTCTGTCACCATTTATGAAATTCTTTCACCTGAATTTTGTAATTATGCAATATACTGTACTTCTCTGAACTGTCTTGAATTTCCTTAAAGAAGGAATTCAGAGGCCAGTCCCTGCTGCTAAATAATGTTTATGTCTTGGAAAGGTTCGTGCTGACTTGCATAACTGTTGTGTGTATGAAAATGTACTTAAGATTTTACTCTTATTCAATATTTGGCCATCATGAAGGCAATTTTTAAAATCTGAAATAGTGAAATGTTACATCTTCTTTCCTCCTATCATTGCTAGCTAGATAAATTATAGCACATATTTACATTCTCTAATGAAACTAAGGTAAGCAGAATTCTATGCAAACCTGCTGAAGATAAAAGCATGAAATAATGAATATGCAAACCTCCTGAAGATAAAAGCATGATAATGAATTTTGGTACTGAAACAAAGTAAGCCAGTTAACTTTTAAAACAGTTAATCTAAAAGTCTATCTTGGGGATCCAAAAAAAATACCAATTCAGACATCTCTTTCATTTTTTGAATGGTTTTTAACCTGAATATGTAATCAGTGTGTACTATAAAGTCATCTTAACAAAATCTAATTTTAAAAAATTGACACATCTTATATGTACTGCAACAGAAATGGTTTTCCAACAACTATATTTTGAATTGTATTTCAAAACCATATAAAGCAAAGACATAAGGTTTTTTTCTTAGCTGAGTGCCATATTTAGCTTTGGATATGAATACTGAGAGTGGGAAAATCCCCCCAAATATCTATCTATCCATCTATCTATCTATCTATCTATCTATCTATCTATCTATCTATCTATCTATCTATCTATATCTCTTCAGTAATAGATTCCAAATTACTGAAGAGACTTTCCAGGTGGCTATGAAAGTTTTGCCAGGCAGATAATAAATAACCTGTCTTTAATATCAGTCACATCCTAATTATTTCACCCATGTTATCATTTTCAACACAGCCCTTTCCATACAGAGGCCAACTGTAAGAAGCATATTTCCAACACTAACAAATATGTCTTTACCTTCTCCTTGAGAATAGCTAATATTTTATCTAATTGGCCAACGATACAATACTAAAAATGGCACCAGCTGCCTCTACTCCTGCCCTTTGTTTTTACTTTGCTGCATTTTGTGGCATATTATAAAAAAAACCTGACAGCATCTGCAGTTGTGGATGGTTGAAAGATGGGATAAGGTGCTCAGGAATCTAAAGAGTGGATGAGTCAGAGGGATTCTTTTTGAGGACAATTGTTTTTGATCATTCACATATGAATTAGACCATATGAGAATGTTCCAGTATTTACTGTGAGCATTTGTCCACTGCTGATCTTAGTTTTTAATAAGTTCTTCTATCCGACTATTGTAGAGGGGGTATAACAATAACTGTCCCATTGCTCTTGGGATATTTCTTAATAGCTGTCAGCAGTTAAGACTTTTTTGGGTCAAATTCAACTCCTGTTGCTATCACAAATGTCTCCACACCCATGTTCCTTGGCAATTATACAGGAGTGGTTTGGGGAAGTCCTCATCAGATAAGATTCCATTTAATTATTCAAAATTATCCATCTGGCTGGGCATTTTCACTGATACAGTCCAATAAAATAGCTTCCCTTCTTTTTCTTTCTTTTTTATTGTCCCTTTTGATCTGGCACACAGTAGGGAACATTGGGATCTAAAGTTGATCTTTCTTCCAGAGTTTTAGAGTAACAGCCCACAATAATTCAACATCTAAAATCTAAGAGATTGTCACAGTTCTGTGAAACCAATTATCCTTCACATTATTTAAAATAAAAAGAGGGCTGATCTAAAAACTGTTTTTGCTCTTAATTTGTTATCATTTAAAGAATGAAGATGATTTGAAACTAGTAGGTAGCTTCTAAATCTAATTGACACTGATAACTGGAACATAACTTCAGGGACCTTACGTAAACAGACAAACAGAATGACCACGGGTGGGCAAAGAAGCAGTGGGGCTAGGAGCCTTTTGACTTCCTGCCAGCTTCCCCATTGACTTTCCTTGTGGGAAGTACCAAGGTGTACCAATTTGGCAGCACTGAAGCAGCCACAGTTTTGCCAAATTTCAATGCCATAGAAGTTATGGATTTGGATACATTCTGTCAGCCCACTTGAAGTATATTAATTCAAACATTGTTGCCCTAAGATTCAACATTTCACGCAATTGAAGACTGCAAGCAATCAACCAGACACAAGAGTTTTGGAAATATATAAATTATAAAGCCAAAACAGGCTTAAAAAAAACAACTGGTAAAATGCTGATTGTGGTTATCAGTGAATTTATAGCATACCTTGTTTGGGACTAATTTTTCTATACTCTTCAGTGCTTCAGTGACATCTAGAGGATGCTTTCATGAATATATTTTTCCCAAAAGAAATCACACTATTAACTAATGGGGGAAGGGATAGATCATGCCTGGATTAATCCCAGACAGTTCTTTCATATAAGCATTCCACTTTCAAAAATAGCCAGCCAGAGACTTCTGAGCTAATTGTCTCCTATCACTTCACCTTCCGCTATTTTGTTATTTCAGGTAAACTGGCCATAATGATGGCTGATAAATATTAAATCACTATGCAGTTTAACCTGAAATGGCTGACTAGAACTAAAATAATAAACACTCCAAGATATAAATGGTATCTTCAACATTTTGTATGAAAATGCACAAAAATTTAAAAAAATAAATAAAAAGGAAACCACTTATAATTGAAGCTCTCTCTTTGAACCTTACCATATTTAATTTATTTAAGAGCCCTGAGGATTGAACGGTAGATAATTTACAGGTTTAATATGAATAAATGTGTAAAAGAAATAAGTAAACATTAAAACAAATTAATCTAAAAACAAACTAGACAAATAACCAATTTTAAAAACTACTAGGCACAGATACTAAAATAGCAGTAATAACTTTAATTATAAGCCCATTCAGCAGAAAATTTAAAAATTATCCTCAGTAAACATGCATAAATCCAAGTTACAAATGTTTCAAGCTGTAGCATCCATACAAATGCTGAATAAGGGAAGATCCACTTCCAAGTTAGACAAGCTAATACTGAACTTTACATAATTATCATGACAACTTACCCACTGAAAGAATGATTAAAACAGCACAACACTTGGAAAACATTACTTGCAAAGAAATTAACTGTGATTTCCCACTGTGAAAGGGACCACAAATGTGCAAGTGTGCATAATTATGTTGAAGAGCTACTTAAAACTAATTTTTAAAAAGAGATTTCCATAACTGAGTCTAGGCATTCAAGTAGTAGATGAATTCATCAAAGAGGCATTATGGCTGTTTCCGAATATACGTTAAAATATTTTTTGTCTGAAAAGATTTTCAAGAGGTGTTTAAATAGTTTGTGTTCCAAGTCCCTGCCCACAACATCCCCTCCACAGTGGTCAAGTTAGATTTGATAAATCATGGAGGCATAAAATACTATTGTACAACTCAATGAGAACAGGGCATTATTTTTTGTAATGACTCTAGAATATTCCTTCTCAAGGAATGTTCATTTAAACTCCTTTTTGCCATCTTTTCAGAGACAAGACCAGTCTTTCATAGTGAAACCACTCTGATTTAGTAGCTAATCATTTTTAATTGCTTTTTAAAATAAAGGTAAAGGTTCCCCACGCACATACTTGCTAGTTGTTTCTGGCTCTGGGGGCGGTGCTCATCTCCGTTACAAAGCCAAAGAGCCAGCACTGTCTGAAGATGTCTCCATGGTCATGTGGCTGGCATGACCAAACATCGAAGGTGCATGGAACGCTGTTACCTTCCCACCAAAGTGGTCCCTCTTTTTCTACTTGCATTTTTACATGCTTTCGAACTACTAGGTTGGCAGAAGCTGGGACAAGTAATGGGAGTTCACTCCATTATGTGATGCTAGGGATTTGAACTGCTGAACTGCTGACCTTTCTGATCAACAAGCTCAGCTTCTTAGCCATTGAGCTACTGCATATTTAATGAATTACTTGTAACGAGGGAAGCATATTCATTGGAAGAGGAATGGAATGGCACATTTCAGAATACAGACCCAGGATTTTACGTTTGAATGTTTGAATAGTCAATTTAGGCTTATACCTTACTACCAGCTAACAAACCTTAGTGCTATTTTGTATGTTTCTGAAGAGTGTGTATTTATCCCAGAGAACTGGAAAAAGCTAAACAAGAATTTCTTTTTTCTTTTTCTGCTTCATTTATATCAGAAACAGCTGCTTTTCTATTGAGAACCATGGTGCACTTTCTGAGTGCTTTCCCTTCACTCTAATCCCCATCCTTGGATCCTTCAGATAGACTACACCTTCTCTCGGGGCACCCATCTTCCACAGCTAGCCTGCCCTGCTACTAGAGAAGAGGTCATTTGTGGAGCCTGAAAGCTGGGAGAGGCTGCTATATAAAATATTTGCTTTCAATTACCACTTTCTCTCAGGTGTCCCAATCTGGCAACTGTGAAGCAGGTTGCCTTCAAAGGGGAACCAGTGCTGGGCCGCGGTGAACAGGGTCTTCTATTTATAAGCCCTCTGGCTGTTCTTTCTGGAGCATAATATTTGCCTGGATTCTTCTGAGAGCAAAGTGTTCTCAAAGCAATCAAGACAGAAAAACTACTTTTAAATGTCATGCCATTTTCCTTCCCATCTACTGGCCCTATGGTTGGACATGACTACTTGAATAAACATGTTCTGGAAAAGGCAGGAGTTAGAGATGAAGGAAGCTATGGACATAAATTATCGTACCATTAGCAGCAATTGGGGATTCCTTCCAAAATTAACCAGGAGGTTTTTATGACCACCTGACTTCTTTTTTAAAGAGCCATTTGAATTCCC